ACGAAAGCTTATGCTCTAATAAATTTGTTAGTCTCTAAGGTGCCACAAGTCCTCCTGTTCTTCTTTTTGCGGATACAGACTAACACGGCTGCTACTCTGAAACCTTTGATTACTTATTGCTATTCCAAAGGATGATCATTTTAGTACTGGGCCATATTGTACCCAAAGGGGATTAATTTTAATAAGGAAAAATTTTGAGATTTGCTGCTAACAATCCAACATGCTTCATGCCACTTTCCAAGAACCCAGCTTCTGCGTATGGTAATTGAATAGGCATTTCCTGTACTAAGATTGTTATAATTAGAACTGACACTAAAGGACGTTTGAAATGCTATGGCCTAAATTTTTAGAAGTGACTAGTGATTTTGGGTGAGACACTTTGAAGGGGCCTGACTTTCAGAAAGCGCTAAGTACCTGGCCTCTGGAAATCACGTGTCTCATGTTGGGCACCCAAAATCTCTAGTCACTTTGGAATATTTAGGCCTCTCTGCACGTATCACTCTGCTACAGATACCAGTGCAATCTAGGTGGAGCAGTGTGAACTGATCTAATTCTCCACAGGGCTTTAATAGCAATATCTTTTAAAATGAAATAGTTTCCCATGAGGCTTCTTCTGCACCTGTGCCTTACATTTTTGCGTCCAGCTGTTTCTTCTGAGGTACAAAACTCCTTGGAATGGCTCACCTGGTTGTCAGCCATGTATCGTTCACCCCATTCGGAACAAATCAAACAGCAACCGATTGCTTCTGATGTGGCCTTGGCATCAGCATGACTCAGTGTTATTTTATTTTATTTTTTTAAAGTGTTACCTCTAACCAGAATGGGGTGTGGTGGTATGCGTGTGTAACCAGGAAAACAGTTCAGATGTTGAACCCTTGGCAGCATGCTCTTCTCCTTTCCCCTAATCCCAGCTCAGATAGTCTGTTTACAGAACAATCACAGGAGAGACAGATGGAGAGATACATAGAGAGCTGAGCGAAACACACTCTGTTCCAGGGGGAGTTCTGGAGCCAGCTGGATCCCCCCCCCCCACCCCCGCCGGTCATAAGAGTCTTGAAATCAAACATGATGGGCCACATTTTAGTTGTCACCCCCTGGGTGTGCAGAGGCCGGGGTGGTGGTGGAGTGGGTTTTCCTTGCACAGCTGTACTATTCTGATCTCTGGTTACACAGGCAGGGGAGTTGCAGTGCTGGCTGTGAGAGGCTGCTGCCAGCTCAGGGAGCATGGTCTGTACAGGAGGTGTAAGGCACTGCTCTTCAGGATTGTGCTACTGGAGGCATCCTACCCCTCTTCTGTTTATAGTACTTATATGGCCCCCTTGCTGAGATATCTCTGCAGCTCCCAACACTCTGGTAAGGTAGGGAGTGCTATTATCCCTGTTTTACAGGTGAGGAACCGAGGCACAGAAAACCCACGTGATTGTCTCAAGGTCACACAAGGAGTCAGTGGCAGAGCCAGGGATTGAATCCAGGTTTTCTGAGCCCTACGGTTGCACCTTAACCACTAGGCCAGTCTTCCTAACTCCTTGTGTTTTGCAGGCGTAGCATTCTCTCACCAGGATTTAAGCCTTTCTAAGAGCAATCCAAATAATCAGACCACTCACTTTCCGTTCTTGAAAAAGTATGTGTACTTATTAATAGCAGAATCCAAAAGTAAGAGATGGAAAAACCTATTAATAACTGACCGGAGTTACTCCCCTCCCACACCTACCAGTGACAGATTGATCCCTGCAGAATATCCCTGAGGGATTTGTTTATCGAGTTCAGTTGCTGGGGCTGCCACTGCTTCCCTCTGGAATTGATTAGTCATTGTGATCTTACTGTTGGGAAATCTTTCCTGACATCAAGCCTACATTTTCCCTTGCACCATTTCTCCCTTTTATGTAATTATTAATCCATGACCATGTCTCAGCTTAAACCATTTTAATTTCTCTTTGAGTTATTTAATCCTCCGAGTCATTTCTGTAGCCAAGATCTGCCAGAATGGGCCAGATGTTTTATGGGTGCAACTCCATTAGGATCACACCAAGAATTAATTTAACCCATTGCCTGTTCTTTTAGCCTCCTCTTACAGGTCAGTTTCCTCAGGCCCTTAGAGAGATACGTTGCACTGATAGACTCCAAAAGTAAGACCAAGGATTTATTTTTGATTCTTAAACATCTCAAGCTTCCTTGGTTTTCTTTTCCTCATGTTACTAAATGGACGGCTGTTCTGCATATGATTTCAGTTTGCTATCTCATGATATTCTTCAGCTAGGTAAAACAGAGGAATAAAGCTAGCACATGTCCTCAGAGTGCTAATGAGATCGTAAACACTCAAGCTTTGGTCTTGTAGTTACCTAGTTACCATGATTCCACCAGAATCCTTTGAGGGGTGTGTGTGTGGGTTTTTTGCATGGCCTATATAGATCAGCTTTACCTGAGTAATATTTCTCTGTGTGTATATCTATCACTATTATATTATTATAGATACACACAGATATAGGCATATATGTGTATATTCTATATCCTGTATGGTATAGTACTATTTCTTATTTTATAGTGGCCACAGGTCAGCTCAGTACCTCGCAGCACAGATAAAAGGACAAAGTCCGTGCCCCAAGGAGCTTACCGTTGTATCTAGATATGATGTAACAAGGGCAACAGAACAACAGGCCGGGGGTGAAGGAAGACGCAGTTGAACAATAGGCAGGGGATGAAGGAAGATGGGCAGAGGTCACGGCAATAAGATGTGAGGGCATGTGAGCAGCACAGTTGGGAAGGGGTTCTAGGGTAAGTATGTACATATAGACAGAATCACTTGGTTGAGTCCCTTCTTGTCCATGTCATGGGAGAAGTGAGTCTTCGGGAGGGAGTTAAAGGGTGGGAGGACTGTTATGGCCCCATAAGATGTAGCTCCAACAAGCCTAGCCCTCAGCTTACACTTGAATAAAGAACTCCTAGCCCTGCACTCTGTAAACCCCACGTGACTTCTAATCCCAGCTTTGTTACTGACTCGCTACATGATGTTGGGCAAATCACTCAACTTTTGCTATCTCAGTTCCTCCATCAGTAAAATGGGGCTCCTAATACTCACCTCCCCGGTGGGCTGTGAGGATTAATTAATTACTAACCACATAGCCCTTTGATCATGTTAAGTGCTGCTAACTGTTGTTAATCTTGTAGCTTTCTTTTTCCCACGGCTCCTCCCCGTCCCTGGCCCCCTGACCCTGGATCAAGTGCGGGTGGCTGTACTCCTTGCACAGCCTGGGAGTGAGCATTTTAATACAAATCGCGTTCCTGAGAAGAAGATCAGCTTTCAGGCCTGGAGTTATACAAGTAAGTAGCGAGGGTTGTGACTGGGGCTATATGTGGCACAGCTGCCTGCCTGGTGACCGTTGCACAGCATCACTTCTCTGTTTCCAAAAAGACTCCCAGCAACAATGCTCAGGCATTTGGTTACAGGCACAGCCAGAGCCATGGTGGAATCTGCACCCCTGCTCCAGGGACAGAGCTCAGAGTCCCCAGAGGTTTCAAGCCCTGGAGCTCTACTGAGGCAGCAGCTCCAGCACAGCCAAAGGCTGAACCCAAAGAGCATTTAGGGGCTAAGGAGCCAAACCAGTGAGCTAGAGGAAACAGAGCATTGGCTCTGCTGTGCCAAGTATCAGCCAGAGCTCACATTGTCATTATATGGCTCAAGTCATCCCAGGTTTATGCCGGCTTCCACTGACCCATCCCAGGCTGCTGGGCCCCCAGCAGTGGAAAGTCCGCCAGCCTGTGGTGGCACAAGATGTTCACAACTTCCCCTCCACTAGGAGCCTCTCCCCCCCCCCCCCCCGAACCAGCAGGGGAACCTCCAAAGTGGGCAACACTGGTTGGGAAATCATGTCCAGTAAGCGCACCCTGATCCAGCCTCTGTTGGTGTGGCTCCTAGGAAGCACACGGCAGAAACTAAAGCAGCCTTCACTTAGAAAAGATACCAAACACCCCTTATACCTCCCTTCTGAGCAGGGATGAAACTGGCCCATTCTCTGTAGCTTATATCTCTTTCATAGTTCAGAGATAAAGGTCCCCTGACCAGTATGAACTGAGTCTGACCATGGTCTTCTCCAGCTCTAACTTCTTTGGTTCTATGAAGCTCTGAGTCAGCCCAGCTCCATTAAACTCTTTCACTGATCTAACTGGCTGCTGCCTGGGTTTTGCGTCACAGCCCAAAGAGTTGCTTTTAACACCATCATTTTGTATTTGAGGATCTAGACTATATGGGTCTAGCAAAAGCATCTCAGCATCCTTTTAAACATGGAGGGCAAAGTTGTCCCATTGCACATGCAGGGTACATTGTATACAGGGTACATACTCTCTGGGGACATTGTAAAGGCCCATTAGTAATGAACCCTGTGCACTGGCTTAGCCAGGAGAGGAAGCTGAAGGCAGCTACTTGGCATCGTACTCACCACCTGCGTGCAGCACTGCTGTCATGATGGACGGGAACCATGACGTCTCACTGTTGGTGGCTTGGAACTCACGCTGCAGGTCTGTGAAGAAGACCCCAGCGCAAGAGGAGAAGCTCAGCGTTAGCCCCTGAAGCAGCACAGTGGCCAACAAGACCATCCAGGCCCATCCCCGGTCCTGAGTGTTGGAGATTCCATGCGCAGCTCCTCCTCTGGACATTTCCACTTCTACCTCCTTCCAAGCCAACCTGTTTGAAAAATCAGCTCCGCTATCATATGGTAGCACTTGGAGCAATGCAAGGAAGGTCACAGCACAGACACCTGCTCTCTCTGGCCAGGAGAACCTATGCCTGCTAAGCCTTGCATTACGCTGCTCAGAACACCTTCCCGTCTTTCACCACAGGATCCTGGCACCAAAGTGCCTGGGAAACCAGCCTCCTTCCCCTTTTATTTCACAAGAGGCTGAACCTGTCCAGGTACAGTCCTGAACACGCCCCCTTTGAGGTATGAATTGGTCTTACCCAGCTCCCTCCCAGAGCTTGTTTTCCCTTTCACCTGCTTTCAGCGCATGGAGTCCCCTTGCTGAGGATAGCTAAGGTCATAAAATCCTCATGCTAAGGAGGGAAGGAAGCTCATGCAAATACCAACAGTAATAAAAATTATATATAGCACTGCTGAGTAGGACAAGCAGCGCTGGGCACCTCTGTGCAGCTCCTGCCTGTTCCTAGCTACAATTCAAGCTGCAAATCATGATCGTTAAAGTCTTTAACAGCTTGGGATTTGGTAATCTCGGAGACGCCTCTCACTCCACCCTGTCTTGGCTGTGGGAGACTCTTGGTGGTGGTTCCCAGGGTTGATCTCTCTGGGTCCTGCAGTATGAAATGTTCAGCGGAGAGCCACTCCTCCCCTGCAGAAAGTGTACTCTTTGGCTGCCTGCCAGGCTCCATGTGCTGTGACCTTCAGGGCACAGTGCAATGCTGAACACTGATACAGGGCTTTTCACCTGTGGATCTCAAAGCACTGTTCAAAGGCTGGTCAGTATCGCTATCCCCACGTCACAGATGGGGAAACTGAAACAAAGAGAGGGAATGTGTGTGACTTTACCCAGGGTCCCACAGGGAGACCTTGGCAAAACCAGGAATGTAATGTAGGTCTCCTGACTCCCAGCTGGAGGTTCTAGCCCCTAGGCCATACTGCCTTCTTGTAATAAATAGTGATCTGGTTTAGCTGTTGGTTGAGGATTTATTTGTATTTCTGTAAAATAACCTTGTGATTGCTACCGTGTCTAAAGTCAGCAGCTCCACCCTTTAATGCTACTCCTCAGGGACAGTTTTATGTTAAAATTTTTTTTGTTTTTAAATCAATTCATGGAATAATCTACTCTAGCTCAGCATTTCAAGTCTCCCCCCCCCCTTACTTTAGATAACTGAGTCTGTATTAAACACCAGGCTGGTACCAGAATAGCCATTCTATAAATTAATATGACTAATGTGTGTGTATATACTGGATGGGCAAGTTCACTCTCTATTATTAAACATTTATATTACAGTAGCAACTAAAAGCCCTGCTTGAATCTGAGGCCCTGTTGTGCTGGGCAGTGTGTTCACAAACAGATAGTCCTTGCCCTGGAGCCCAGACAGTCTAAAAGAGAGACAAGCAGATGAAGGCTTTGGTGTGGAGACATAACATACAAGCGAACATGGGGATGATTGGTACAGTTTAATTCTTTGTACACTGTGGCCGGGCACAGATAATGCTACTGACTAGTTCATGGGCTTTCCCTCTGGTGTGATCAGATCACTCTGTATTAACTGGCTCATGGTCTAATCACTCTGTATTAACTGGCTCATGGCCTAAAGACTGTCCCCCGGAGTCACAGACCCAAACAAAGACAGCAACCCAGAACATTGCAGTTCAACTTGTCTTTGTTCCCGATTGCACAGCTCAGACTGTTTTGTCCAGCTAATGATCCCTGCTACCCCCAGTTCCACCAGATTTCCTATTTATGCTCATTCACGGCCTACTAATTAATCACTCATTACAATGCACACCTGCTGTAGCTTTCAACCACCTTCTCCACCTACTGTACATCATTACAGGCCAAGTTTCCCTCCTCAGCAATCTGATTCACTAGTTTGTCTGCCCATGTGCCTCTCCCTGAAATAAATGCCAAGACATCCTGCTTGTAACAGACCGACTAATGCAAGGAATGCCAGTAATCTCAGTGTCATGCCAGCTGCTTTCTGCCTGAACAAAGGTAAATGGAAACAAGCTCATTCTGGTGCCAATTTACCTGGCTCTGCCAAGTGGAACAACAAAAGAAATGCAGCTGTACAAAGCCTTGTATTAACTCTCCCTATGGTAATTAAGTGATCACAGCAGCACATTAGGACCACGTGAATTGCTGTACTAGAAATCTATCTAGTCCAGTATTCTGTGTCTCGTTAGAGAAAAGTGCAAGAAACCCTTTGTAATTCACCTGGTCACCTGTGGAATGCTACAGCAGGTGGCAGTAAACTCTCCTGACCACAGCTGGGGTTCATCTTAAGCCCCTCTGAAGCACAAAGGGCAGCTATCCCCTGTAATATTACTAGCCTTGTGTAAGAGCAGAATCTGGTTTTAGCAGTGTGTCTCATGCTTTGTTAAAGGTGTTTCTTAGTGTGTGAATTTAGTGCTTCTGGAAGATGCTGGATTAACAGTCCTGGACACTGACGATGCCTTTCTGCATCTACACCAGAGGCAGCAGTTCCTTCACATTGCCTATCCGTTACGGTTCAATGTTGGGACCACTACTGAGGCTAGTTGGTCTCCGTGGCCGAGTCAATCTTGGGCCAGTCGAGGTTACCAATATTAGTGATTTTTAAAAATGTATTTTGGATACCTCTCCACTGGGGCTTGAACTGAGACCCAGCAAATCCCTTCCACATAAGCTATTGAACAGCCATCAGAGGAGACCAGTTCTCAGTCACTGAGGGATTCCTCATCCTTACTGAAGTTGAACCTTTCTCCCCATTGCTAATTCCCCATGCCATCCAGTCTCTTGTCTGTTCCTTTTCTGAAACAGACTGAACTCTTAGCTAGACTGGAAGGTGAGCTGACAGCCAATTGAAGGGTCAAATGCCAAGAGTCCCAAAGGTGTGGGGCTCAGTAGACCACAGCTTGTTTTCTTTGTAGCCAAAACGGCTGGAACTGTAGCCACTGAAATCCAGCCCCTCTGCCCCTAGGGGGAATGTTGCATTCTCAGACACTCTTTTGCATTGTTACGTAACACATGCTCTAAGGATGACTAAAAAGCTTGTGCAAACTTTTTGTTTCTAATTTTATGGTCTCATATCCATAACAACATAGGTTCAGAATGAAATTTACAAATACCTCCATGTGCTAGGTACTGTATCTCTGAGAGGCAAATAAGTGACTGCTACAAACAATGCCCTTGTTAGTAACAGATGTGCAAATACAAATACATAGGGACAAAGCTTCTCATGTTACTCCAGCCTGTATGGCCAGCTAGACAGGATATGCTGTAACATGATGTAAAATGCTTCATCATTTTACCCCTGTGGTTAGAATATTGTCCACTCTGGCCCATTCTTATTTGACAAAGTTCTTTCTTTCTGTAGGGCCGGATTCTGATCCCATTAAAGTCAACGAGAGTTGACTGGCATTAACTGGAGCAGGATCAAGCCGATCATTACTTGATTTTCTTAGGTAGGAGACAGCAGGCCCTAGTAGTTAGTGCTCATGACTGAACATGAAGAGATCTGGGTTCCAGAGCCAGCTCTGCCACTTTGCTGACCTTATGATCCCACCGGTTGACCGCTCTGTGCCTCAGTTTCCCCATCTGTAAAATGGGGTTAACTCTATGTACACACCTGGAGGTCTTTTTTTGAAGGTGCTCAGCTGTGGCCCTTTGATGACCAGTTTATGGCAGCTAAGATGGTGGAACAGTGCTGCCACTTGTGGGAACACAGGGGTCCGGGAGAGCAGCATTGGTGGTGAAGGTTTGAGTCCCTTGTTTTCTGTGCTAGTGGGCCAGGAGAGACAAGGCAGGAGAAGATTTGGTGTAAGGCAAAACCCAGAGTTGAGATGGCTAGTTCCATTGCTTTTGCCTTCAGTTATCCCTGGGGAGGCTGGGCGGTCAGCACATAAGGATCCAGCCTTCTCTCCACAGCCTTTAATGTTGAGTCAATGGTTGGAAGAGTGCCCCATCCACGACTTAGTCAGGAGGGATGAGGCCCTCACTTTGTGGGCATTACCCAAACCTGGCTGGAGGACCAGATTTGGCACCCTGTGATAATTCTACCCAAGATCTCTAGTGCCAGGGGTGTTTCTGGTTTCCTTGCTGAGTCGGGGGCATGGGAGGGGATCAGGGCCGTCTAGTTTGGTAGAGGAGAGTTTCCGGTGAGACTTTGGAGCCCAGTGGCAGCTCTGTTTGGAGCTTTGCCCAAAGGGTCCATAGGGGCTTTAGGACAGAGGGGTCCAAACTCTGGCAGGAGGCTGTTTACCTCCACCAGGCAGTCCCTGCCCAAAGCCCTGGCTGCAGTCCCTGCTGACTGTCCCACATCTCTTGGGGGGCAGTGCCCTGGGCCAGGCCCAGTTCCAATGCACCAACCAGCAGGCAGACAGGGCTCCCTCCTTCAGCCTGCTGGGGGGATGCCCCGGAGAGCAGCGCCCTGGGCTGAACCCAGCCTGCCCTCCCCCCGGCCCAGCAGCAGGGGGGTGACACTGCCGGCTACCGCTGCGAGACAGCTGCCCAGCAAATCGCCCCCGACCCCTACTCCTTCCCTCTCCGGCTGGGTCGCTGAGCGCAGCGCCGGGCACCCCCGAGTGAGGCACCGCAGAGCGCCGGGTCTGAGCCGCCCGGGGAGTGGGATCCCAGCTGGGGCCCCTGCCCTCTTGTTAGCGGGACAGTAACCGTGAGACACCTCGTCGCGGAGCGCCCAGCCGTGGGAGCCGGGCTCCCTTCCGCTCTCTGGCTGTGCAGGACTCAGAGCTCTCCTGCGGCTGGCCGCCCCCTTCCTTCCCTCCCTCCCCTGCCCGCTCCGCTTACCTGTTCACACGGGCGCCTCCATCCGAAGTAACTCCCACCCAGAGCCCGGGGAGGGAGCGAAAGAAGAAGGGGAGCGCTCCGAGGGCATCCGCGGCTCTCTTCTGCTTCTTCCCCCGGTCCTCTTCCTGAAAGGGCCGTGCTGGCGTCCCTTCTTCGCCCTGCGAGGGAGGAGACAGGGCGGATGCAAGCCAACGGAGCAGCTCAGTGCAGGCACATTTCTGGCTAGAGGGGGAAGTTTAGGGGCGGGTGAGTTCATCCAGTGGGAGAGGACTGGATCCACTGGGGATCACACAGCAGCTGGAGGTAGAGGGGCACTGGGGCTCTTGGGGAAAGGTTAGATCCACTCAGGATCCACTAAGGGCGGAGTGGGAGTAGATCTGGAAAATTGTTTGAGCCACTGGATATCACACAGTATGGGGGCGGGGACACTAGATGTTTTGGGAAGTAATTTAATCTCATCAGGATCACACATGCTCTAGGGAAGGGAGTAGATCCACAGGGCACCACACGGGAGCCAGTGGGGGATGACATTGTTTTGTTGGGAAAAGGTTCCATCTACCAGGAATATCATGGGATCCGGTGGAAATTGGCTGTTCTGGGGAAAATATTAGATCCACTGTGTGCTCACTCAGCGTCTAGTGGAGCGTGTGAACTGGAACAATCAGGAGTTGTTTCACAACGGGTTGTACAAGATCCGCTGGAGATACTACTGGACAATGACATGTTCATAGATCCAAGCAATAGTGTCACGGCATATGGGGGAATGGCATGGTCAAAGCAGGATGACTGAATCCAGTGGGAGAAGTCCAGATCTGTTGAGGATTTCACAGAACTAGCTGAGGGGGCTGAGTGGGAGATGGCTGTCTAGATCTGCTAGGGATTTTCACAGGCATCTTTTGGTAGTCTTGGGATCTGCTTGGAAGGGGATCAAATTATTTACATTTCTTCAGCCTATCTCATTGGATCTAGTAGCACCGGAACCACAAGCTACAGTCACAGGAGCGGTGAATTCAGAAGTCCTGTTCAGGATTTGAAGCAGGAATAACAGTGAGAACTTTGGAGACTGTCCCCCCAAAAACATTCACTAGAGGCTGTTAAAGTGATCTGAAGATCCAGGTGCCTCTTTCCCAAATCCTGGGCTGCTAACTCTCCATACAGCTCCCATATCTCTAAACAAGTCCCTTAGAACCAATGCCCTACTCTAGCACCTCTGTGATGGGCTGTCCACCCAACAGAGGTGGGCTTGGGGGGGGGCAATTAATCCATCTGTTGCCAGGCCTAATTAAAGATGAACCCCAGCTGGGTTGAAGTTGGGTGCAGCTATAAAGAGAGGAAGCCTGGAGCAGACCAGGGCTATAGGAAGAGAGTGATGAACTCTGTAGCTGTTCTTTTGGTAACAGAGAGGCCTGTGGGGAACAGAAAGGCTTCTGCAGGGAAAGGAAGAAGCCTAGGGAGGAAGATGTTGGATTAGGGCATGCTCCTGTGGCTGACCCTGACACAAGGAAAAGAGCCAGACATCTGGTGTGAAGCCTTGGGAGATGCTGCTTATTACAAAGAGTCCAGGAAGGAGCTGGGGAAAAGACCGAAGAGAGGCCTGTAGTAGGAAGGTGTCCAAAGAGGCAGGGTCTGATAGAGCAGACCTTGGCTGCCCAATCTAGGACCCATGCACTGGGACCCAGTGTAGAGAGTGCATTTGTGTTTCCCCACCAGCGAGATGGCCTGAAGCCCCACAACATACAGGGCTGAGGATGATTTAAACCCTGAGGAAAGGGTGGAAGGACCATGCAGCCGAGAGTTGGAGCTGAGAACCAGATGTAAGGACTTTGGATTTTTTTTGTTGGATGTTTTGTTGCCCCAGAAGGGGGTGGAATTACAAGTGACTGGATGGGAGGAACAAGTTGTGAGAAGAGAGACTCCCACAGGACCAAAACAAACCGCTGGCCGAGGGTTCTAGAGCAGGAAATCCAGGAGGTACCAGAGTGAGTCCCCTCTTTTGCAATCTCATTATATTGTTTTCTCTGCTGTGCATGGTAAGATTTGTATGAACTACTCATTATGAAATGGTATTGCACTACACAGTGCATCTGGTCAAGGGATAATCTACTTCAGTGCTCTGTCTCTGAGAGTAGCTGCTTCTGTATGTTTCAAAGGAGAATACAAAATCCCTATGCTGTCATCAGTAGAAATTTCTTCCTGATCCCAGGTGATAATCATTTATGCCCTGAAGCATGCAGATTTGCAGCCTATTTTACTTTACATCAGCTGCAGATGCTGAATTTATTCATGTGTGTCTGAAACTCTTTTTGAATCTAAGCGATTTCCTTCAATAATATCATGTGATTGTTCATTCCAGTGCTTACCTTTAGAAAAAAAATGTCTTGCTCCTTCTCCTAGAGTAGAGTATTGCAGTGTGGGGGTGGAGGGGGTCAGGAAGAAACCAAGACCCAGGTCCTCAAAACTATTTTGGTGCCTAGCTCACATTAAAATCATGTGTGCAATCAATGGAAGTTAGGTGCCTACATATTTTTGAGGATCTGGACCCAGGTGCTAAGCCAGAGCTGCAGGTTATCTGATACAGAGGTGATATGGCTCTGAAGGGAGATGAAGTTTGATACCATGGTATTCATTGTGATTACATGTCCTCACCCCTGGGACTGATCTGTTTACTCCTTAACAGAACACTAATTGGATATGTAACCTGATATGACTTCTGGCTGCTCCTGGGCTGCAGTAACTAGACACCTCTCCTCAAAACGTCCTTCCCACATGAATACCCAATGGATGCCCCACCCCACTCCACCCCCAAATACTCCAGTCCTAACTTCCCCCAGCAGGATTTGCTGTAGCAAAGCGTTCTGGCAGAGCTGGTCTTAGGGGAAGCTTGACCCATGTGGTCACACAAGGCACTTGAAAACCTGGCGTTGGTGCGGGGAGAGGCATATGGGACTGTGGGGTGCTTCAGGGTATGTCTACTGCAAGTGAATAGTTAAAAATGAGAGTGGAGCATGCATGTTGGGATGTGGGGTGGGAGGGGAGTATGTGGGAGAGGAAGACAGGTAGGAGACCTTGAGGGAGGAACTGAAGTCTTCTGTAGAGAAGGGTGAAATTGCAGGGAGGTGGAAAGCAATTGATGGAATAGGGGAAGATGAGGGAAGGAAAGATTGGGGGGGGGGTAGTGATGGAGAGAACATCTGTGAGAGGAAGAGAACATAATGTATGGAGAGGGATGGAAGGAGAGACATTAAAAAGAAAGCAGAAGACACCCAGTTAAACAATAGAGGGAGGGATATTCTGTTACAAAACACAAACCTACAAGTGTGTAAACCTGTCTGGCCATACACCGCACTGGAGGTGCAGCTCACATCATTCTGCCATAACTCTGCCTCGAAGCATGTGTGCAACGAAAGGATATTTGATATAACCAGCCTGCACATTCAAGCTTCTGTAAACTGAGCAGCACTGTAAAGGTGTCCGAAGGAGTGGCTAGCTTTGAGGTTGAGTGTTAAGTCACCGTGTAATGCTCTGCCCTTCCCAGGGCCAGCTCTGGCTTTTTTGCCGCCCCAGGCAAAAAAGCCTCCCGTACCCCCCAGGGCGGCAGGAGAGGGGGCCGAGCCCGGCCGCGGGCCCACTCTCCCTAACCAGCCGGAGTGCTGGGGGGAGGGCGGCGAGCCCGCTGCGGCTCTGCTGGCGTCCGGAACCCCGGGAGGAGGGTGCAGAGCCCCGGCCGGGGCTCCGCT